GCAATAGGAAGAGTGGAGGAATTTTTGCACCCAAAACAGTTGGGTTTTGCGCAACAGGCGGAACGCCGTTAGACTGATAAGACAGCCAGAGGTCTCGGTGGGCTTCGTGATTGGGGACTTCAGGGTCAGTTTCATCAATGCTTGCGACAAATCAATGGCTAAGTGGTTCTCCCGCATCTAATCAGTTTCTGCCAAAAGTTGGATTTACAGTGTTCTGTCTGCAGTGGCCTTGCTCAGCTCACTTCGACGAAGGGGTTAGCTGGATAACGCGGTCAAATCCGCCGAGCAATGATGTGAAATCCTTAGTTTTGTATATCTAACTGGTTCACAGTGTGCTGCGTTAACACCTGATGCATACAGCCAGCTGGGGGTTTGCCGCGATTCGGCCGTGGGTATGTCGCCGAATAGAGTATTAGAAGTGAACGCGAGAACACCGGTCATACACAGCATAAGATAGAAAAAGTTTTGTAACCCCAGATTATGATGTGGACATCTGAGTCGGTAATCCCTTTCAGGTGAGCAAAGACGCAATGGTAGGTCCCCTGAAGGAATGTCGCTTCCAAATTGTTGAATTTTGAGGGCATATCCAGTGCGCTCTCCCAGGTTCGAAACTGGCCTGATTCTGATACTTTTTTTATTACACAAGAGTGTGATGAACAATATACGGATCGAACCCCATAGTCACGAGGACCTGCGGTTCAGTGGTGGAAATCGGCAACCTAAGCCCCGGGACTTGTAGTGGCGAAGCAGGTAAGGCTCCGATAGGTAAGGTGTATTGAACGGGACAGCAGAGCTGACTACCACTTCGTGGTAGACAGATTTTGTGGTTTCGTTGGGAAGCTCTGGAGCGAACCTAGTTTTCTGTAAGCGAACTTCTCGTAAATTAGTTTATGCCACTTAGAATCAAAGAGGTTCTTCAACGCTCAAACAAAAGATTAGCCCTTATTTCGACAAGCGAACAGATGTGAGGGGTCAAGCGATTTAGGTTATCCTAGCTTCGTAGGTACGAACCCTGCCACTGCCACCCACATTTTCCTATGGGATGACTTCGTAGACTCCATTGCTGATATAATGCGTACTAAATGGTCACACGAGTATATTCCATCCTGGAGAGAATCACTGATCGTTCCAATTTTTAAGAAGGGGTCGCAACAACTGCGCCAACCACCGTGGAATAATTTTGATCCCAATCGTCACCAAACCACTAGCTTCCCTTATACTTCGACATCTGAAACCGTTTAGGGAAACAACTATCCGCGAACAACAAGCAGGATCTCGACCAGGCCGCGGTTGTATCGATCAAATCTTCACTTTGCCTCGAGCTACGCCATACGCACCGTAGACCAACGGTCGTCGTGTTCCTTGACCTAAAAGGAGGATCGTGAATCCCATGTGGGTTCTCTCCTTCACAAAAGAATGCCACAAAATTAAACGAACATACTGAGTTCACTCTATTCGCATATTTGTGGTAGCGTAAGGGTCTACGGCGACCTGAGTAGGTCGTTCGCAACTAGCCGCGCTGTTCGTCAAGGGTGCCCTCCGCGATTTCAGTTTCGTCATAGAAGGAATACTGGAGAACACGGTTAGTGGTCTCCAAAATGCAGGTATTGATTGGGCAGCTGGAGAAAATCTGTGCGACTTGGATAAAGCTAACGACATCGTTTGCCTGGTCGAATCTAACTAGGATGCACAAAGAGCACATGACAGATTAGCAAGTTCTGTTGCTCTGTTCGGCATATGCCGTTGGTTGTCGCCGAGTTCAGTTATGAAACTAGACAGTCAAGAATTAGCTGAGGTCGACTGTTTCTCGTACTTGGGAAGCTGCTTGACCAACAATGGTAGCGCATCAAAGGAGATAATCGCCCGCAATTCCAAGCCTCGAGCAGCGTACGCAGGACTTAAAAACCTGTAGCGGCGACGTGGCGTGTCACTGAAGTTGAAAAGCCGTGTAAAGTGCGCCACTGTATGATCAGTTCTGCTGTGCGGTTGAGACATTGAACTTGCGGACAGAAGACAATGGATGCCTACGTAGTCTGGCCCAGTTGGGTTTTAGCGAGCGGGTTAGTACCGAACACAGTGTTTGGGAATGCATCGAACAAGAACTCGCTGTCGCATCGAATCCAGCTCAATAGGCTCCGTTGGTGATGATACGTTTTGCGTATGTCTGACGGTTGCCTACCACGGCGCGCCTTATTCGCAGTGGCT